TCAAGACCCGGGTTTAATCTTTAGGTGTGTGTTTTCAAGTATTTTACATAAAATTACTAAAAAACGATTCAATTATAAATTAATGTCAGCTTAATACCGTTGAACCCAATTTATAAGCAGTTCACCAATTCTTGGTTGAATCAGTTGGACCAGCTGGTATGATCTGATCCGATTTTAATAAAATTGGAGGAACAATTTTCTCACAATATAAGTTGTTCATGTTTATATAGATCATATGACTTACCAGGACTTGTGGCCAAATTCATGTTAATCCTTGCCTGATTTAGTATATTTTTTAAAAATGGTGGCAAAGTGTGGAACCATTCCGAGCCGAGAAATTATTTACGGTAAAGCCCTTTTCAAATGGGTGTTTTCAGGATTCAAACATTTCTCACTTTATTAATAAGGGTACATCCTTGGACCTAGCCAATAACCCAAAGGCCAACCCACTTTGGGTTGATTTAGTATACTAAAATAAACTTAGGTAAAAAAAAATTGTATTTAAAAAATAGATCATATGTTTATTTTATTAGGTTTGACCTATAAACCTATGAGTCACTTTGTATCATATAATTTATTTTAAATAAAGTAAAATAAATTAATAATAATAATAATATTATTATTAATTAATCTTAAATAATAAATAATACTTTTTACTTTTTATTAATAGACATAGAAAGCGTAATAAATTTAAACAGACTGATAAGTCAAGTCATATTTTTTTATTTTTTAAAATAAATCAATATTCAAACCTATAATTTATTCTAGGTTGGATAATATGGCAATAGATTAGGTTAAACTCAAAATAAACTTCACAAACACATCTCTTGTGAACTTGATTTAATATAGTTATGGATATATACCATATCCTAACTACCTATCCAAGAATCTAATAAAGGATAATGATCATATTATCTTAAGAATATTAAACAATAAAGCTACTCAGGATAGAGTCCTTATCTCAACAGAAAGAAAGTTGAATCCTAATACAACTTGGAGATCTACACAAACCCAAGAGATAAACCTTATAAATAAGAGGCTAAAGACCTCATGTACACACTTTTGAACCTAATTACTATTACTGCCAGCACTGTGCACACACCCACATCTTGGCTATAAGCATATTGTTTGTGCGCAATGATTGGGATACTGGCTATAAGCCAACCAAGGTACCTATCTATAGGGTATCTTTGAGCGCATACCATACGATATAGCAATACGGTCTTCTAGGACCTAACATTGGCGCCGTCTGTGGGGAACGTAAATTTTGATTCCCATTCCACGATGACAAACACTCGTTCGACGTCCAGCAACGCTCAACCCCAACCGCCGCACCAGTCTGCCTTAGGATATCTCCAGTCGATTTCAGATCCGATTTTGGTGAAGGTGCAGGTCGGAGAGGTTGGCACAGAGAAACCACCCTTCGTGACCCAGGGCAACCCTGCGGCAAAATCTGCACATCCACCTCCGCAGAATGATCAGCCCAGAGGTGAGGATCACGTGGTCAATACTGCCATGAACGCAATCCTTCAAAGGATGCAAGAGATGGAGAACAGGTTCCTGGCTCAACAAAGGCTGAATGCAAGAGGATGTAGGCATTGGAAGCCGAGCTGTGAAACCAAAACACTGAAGGCCGAGCTGGAGGAGCATGCCAAGCTGGAACTGAAGGGCCGGAACGCCGAAATCCGGCAGCTGAAAATGTCCGAGATCCTCACCACGAAAACCAGCATGAAGGCAGAGGACAGGGCAACAACCAAGGATATAACTATCTCCATGATGAAGAGGCTAATGATAGCCTGTTTACTGAGAGGCTCATGAACTTGGCAATTCCGCCAAGATTCAAAAGTGCCAAGATACCCCCTATGAAAGAAGTCAGGATCCAGACACCCATTTGGAGGCATTCGAGACCGAGATGCTGTTCAACAGGATAACTGAACCTATTAATGCCAGAATTTTTGCTATGACTTTGACAGGTCAGGCAATGACGTGGATAAATAGGCTTCCTAAGAACTCAATTGATTCATTTGAGGACCTGGCTCGAACTTCTGCCTTAACTTCGCCACTAGTAAAGCTCATCCCATGCCGGCCTATGCTCTAGGAAGAATCCGGCAAAGGGAGAATAAATCACTGCGAAAGTACCTCAATTGATTTAAGAAAGCAGCCCTTTAAGTACGAAACCTAACTGAGCCAGTCCACCTGCATTTGATCATCTCGGGATTGGATGGCGAGTCTCCACTCGCCAAATCCATTTATAAGAAACCGGTCAATGACTTGGAGGAATTTCGACGAAGGTCGAATAAATATATCGATGTCGAAGACATGCAGAAGGCTTATGGCGAATCCAGGGGTCGGAGCCCGAATCGCCGGAGTCCAAGCAAGAAATATAAGGACAGAGATCAGCGAGGATCAAAGAAGGGATCTGACTCTCATAACAAGAGGTCAGATGAGCGCCCTCTGAGAACTAAATATGAAAATTATGCACCATTGAACATGTCCAGATCCAGGATATGAAAAGAAGTGGCTCAAACCGAGATGCGTAATGTCGAAAGGCCTCGGCCAATCAAAAGCAAGGGTGGTTTGGATAGAAAAAAATATTGTGATTTTCATGACCAGAATGGCCACACAACAGATGATTGTTGGGATCTCCGAGATGCCATTGAGAAGCACATTAGAGAAGAAAAACTGAAGCAATACCTCATCCGAACTCAGGGCAAGAAAAATAACAAGCGAAGGCAGAGAAGCCAGAGCAAGAGTACTAAGTCCATTGCTGATTATTCCCTCTTTGTTCGTCATATTTCTGATTCGTTCACAACACTGTTGATTTATGTAGACGATGTAGTACTTGCTGGCAATGATGCAAATGAAATTCAGCGTGTCAAAACTACACTCCATAGCCAATTCAAAAAAACGATCTTGGTCTTCTCCGATTTTTTCTGAGCTTAGAAGTAGCTCGTTCTCACCAAGGTCTGATTCTCAACCAGAGGAAATACACTCTCAAGCTGTTAGCTGATTTAGGGCTCCTGGCTGCTAAGCCTTCTACTACTCCACTAAATCCTTCAATCAAGTTACAACACATTCAAGGTGACCCTTATGAAGACCCTTATGCATATAGGCGTCTTGTTGGCAGGTTATTATACTTAACTACTACTCAACCCGATATAACTCATGTTATTCATCAGCTGAGTCAATTTGTCTCCAATCATATGTGTGCTCATTTCACTGCAGCTTGTCATGTGCTGTGTTATTTGAAGACTTCACCTGGAAAAGGGTTGCTGGTCTCTGCTACTAATTCTCTCCAACTTTCTGCGTTCACTAACAGTGATTGGGCTTGTTGCCCTGACACTCGAAAATCCGTTACTGGAATGTGCATTTTCCTGGGAAATTCCTTAATTTCCTGGCGTTCAAATAAGAAAACAACGATTTTGAAGTCCTCTTCGGAAGCTGAATATAGAGCTCTTGCCAACACTACTTGTGAGGTTCAATGGTTGGCGTTCTTATTCAAGGACTTACACCTTCCTCTCTCTCAATCAATTCCCATATACTATGATAATCAAGCTTCTGTGTACTTGGCACATAACCCAAGCTTCCATGATCGTAGTAAACATATTGAAATTGATTGCCACATCACTAGGGAGAAGATTCACACTGGTCTTATTCATCACCAACTAGCAGATGCCTTTACAAAGTCATTACATCCTGCTCCTTTCCGGGGGATCATATCCAAGTTCAGGATGGTTGATGTTCACCTCCCAACTTGAGGGGGGCTATTACCATTATTACCGGTGAAAGTTATTCATCTATTTTGTTAAGTCTGTATTCTTATCAAGTTAGTTAGTCAGTTGATAAGTTTGTTGCTCAGTTAGTATTATGTTATTTTCCTTTTCTTTTTCACGCTTAATAGTTGCTACATGTAAAGTGACTATGATATAGTATATATATAGCTGATAGCTTGTATCTGTTAAAATTTAATGAATTCACAATTCAGTTTCCTTAGAATTCTCTTCATTCTTTCTCTTCACTAAGACATTGTGGCAAAATAATGCAAGCCAGAAACGTGGCAGGGATAGTTAGACTTCATTTATTTAATCTCTAAATAAAGCCCCTCTTAAAAAAATGTACAGAATCTCATAGAATTTGTTGATGATTAAGAAGAAATAACCATTAATAATGTTGATTTGCATGGTGCAGAGCATGCCCGAAGTGTTAGAAGATTATATATGACAAGCATGGCTTTATAGAGTTTCGGCGTGAATGTATGCTATCAAATTTGTTGGAATCCATGACTGGTCCTACATGTAGGGTGTGATTGGTGCCTCCAATAATAATTATCCCCTTTATTAATTCAACCAAACAATATTTTATATACATTGCTTGTAGTAGTTTGGCACTTATCACTTGACCATGAAGTTATATATACTTATTATTCCTCTCACCAAAGTGTGGATACCGCTAACCTACACAAAATTTGCCATTTTAAAAGTCCTTTGCTTTTGTCTTCGGCTTCCAAACCACCTTTGACTGATTACAATTACAAGTGTCCCTATTTTCAAGGACATGAACGTTAGTGGGCACCCTCCATTATCCATAACTAGCATATCTTAGAAACATGTCTTGAATCACTCACGAGCAACACCTCTCTCATCGTTCTATTTTTGCGTGCAAGTTAACGGCGAATGTCTCACCTTATTTTCCCCCGCTCGATTGAAGTGGTTGGGCTGTGAATTCGATATCTTTCTTTAATGTTATTGATTTTACCATTACTATGTTAAAAGGACAAAATCTCCTCCTCCTTTTCATGTCTTAATTAAGCTACTCCTTTCCAATATTTCACAAGTAGTTACACCTACAAACTATATACTCTTTTTTAAAATATCATTTCCCATTCCACAAGAAACTGAGCTAGATTTTATATTTAACACCATTTTTTTTTCACTTTTCCCAGTGGTTGAAATCTACTGGGCTTATTAATTCCCCAGTGATTTGAGTTCTTGATTACATTAATGGCGGCAATCAGCAACATTGGTTTACAATTTCCACGGAATTTGAGCAATGCAAAGAAGGAAAATGTGGTCACCAAAGGGGAGGTTTTGTGGCTGAGTTTTTATTCTTCACGCAATACTAACAAGTCGAACAATGAAAAACGAAGATTTTCTTTGGTAACTGCAAGTTATAATGATAATAGTCCCGGAAAAGTTGACACAATCAATGGAACGAAGGTGAATGGAACACATGTGGCAGAGGTTCATCTCTCAGCAGGCAAATTGGCAAACGAAAGCGCAGTAGATGCAGCACTTGTTAACAGCTTGCATGGAAGGTTTGTGGAGGGCAAGCTTGTGTATAGACAGATTTTCGCTATCAGGTCTTATGAAATTGGACCAGATAAAACTGCCACCATGGAAACACTCATGAATTTTCTTCAGGTTAGCTTCAAAACTCTAAACATCAATGTATGATATTCACAATTATGTGATCTACTCACTCTTATAAAGAGTCTATTTTCTAGATTCGAATTCGTGACCCGTCACAAAGGAACAGTTTTATCACGAGTTTACTAATAAAGAAATATTTTTATTGATGAGACTTCACTATCCCGCTTGAATTATTGAGTGCATTAGTTGCTTTATATAATATTAAAGATTACATGATCACATAATCATGAGTTCAATCTCCATCCCTTTTAATTGAAATTATGTCAACAAAAAAAAAAATGAGCATGTGCAATTTCAAGGCTCCTGTCATTCCCTCTTTTATCCAACATCTTTATATAGAATAAAATTTAAAACCACGGCTTAATGATTGCTCTAATATGAAGGCAAACGAATAAACCATAAAATTTCACAAAAATATATTTTGATCTTTCCCAATAATACCCTTTTCTCTCTATTATAGTTGGCCTCTATGATACCAAGGAATTCTGATATATGGAAGGTCATATTATTTATGATATCTAATGTCAGAGGCATAGTTCAACCTAGAACGAACAATATTTTTAAAAAACTTGATGAATAGAGTATGCATGAACCATATGAATGAAAAACAATTTTGATGAAGTACATATTAAATGGTTCAGGAAACTGCTCTGAATCATGTTAACAGCTCTGGGATAGGTGGAGACGGTTTTGGAGCTACCCGCCAGATGAGCCTTCGGAAACTCATTTGGGTTGTTACTCGTATTCAGGTTCAAGTGCAGAGATATAGCAAATGGTAAATATGATGCTTCTAACCCCTTACCTTGCATAATTATACAAAATACTTATGACGACTTATGTTTTCAAAGAATATCTAGACCAATGAATTTAAGACATAAGCATAAATGTGACAGGGGAGATGAAATTGAAGTTCATACTTGGGTTGATGCAGCAGGAAAGAATGGAATGCGAAGAGATTGGATAATCAGGGATCACTACACCAAAGAGATCATAACAAAAGCAACAAGGTGCAATATTTCATCCTTTTCATACATACTGACTAATCATGTAAGTGATAAAGATTTTTCCTCAATATGTAATATATGTTAAAATTTTCCTTCATGCAGCACATGGGCGATTATGAATAGAGAAACAAGAAGACTATCCAAGATGCCTGATCAAGTTAAGCAAGAGCTTTCTCCTTTTTACCTTTATAATAGGCTTGCCATTGCCAGTGAAGAAACAGATTGTGAAAAGATAAACAAGCTCACTGATGACAATGCTGAGAGAATCCAATCTGGATTAGCTGTAAGTTTGATAACTAATTTCCTTTTAATTTTTACTTCCCCTTATATTCATTAAAATTTCAATTCAATCATTCCCCTGCTTTCTCCAGAGCTATGAAACTCAAATGCCACACTTTAGATTGCATTCAGATCACTGTACTGACCGCTTCTTAATGGATTCAATACAGCCAAGGTGGAACGACATGGATGCCAACCAGCATGTCAATAATGTGAAATACATTGGATGGATGTTAGAGGTACGTATCAAATTAAAGATAACAAGTTGCAACCATTGGTAAAACAATGCTGAAATGAGGCAAAGTGATAAACAACCATATCATCCAATAACTCAAGTTTATAAGTGAAGGTCCATCAATTGTTTTTATACAGCTAAAGAAATATAAAAACCAAATGGATCTTCACTTGTCCGCTTGAATTATTAGGTGAGATGGTTGTTTATCATAGTATATTTTTGTGACTATAGAGTAATGAGTTTGATCCACTGCGCCATTTTTTAGTGAAATTATAAGTTAGCACAAGGTAGAACAAAAAAAATAGGTTTATGCAATATCTGCACTAAAATCCAGAGTATTATTGTGTGAGGGGACGTGTTAGAGAGATATAATATAAAAACACCAACGGAGTCTTCACTTAATATTATTAGACTTGTTTGATCCCTTTAAGAAAAAGTGTAAGATGTCATAGAGTTTGGTGATGATTAACTTGTCCAGTTAAAAGTACTAATATTGATTTGGCATGTTAATTTGCTACTTGCAGAGTGTGCCAACAGAAGTACTACAAGATTATAATATGACAAGCATGACTTTAGAGTTTCGGCGTGAATGTATGCAATCAGATTTGTTGGAATCCATGACTAGTCCAACAGCAAAAGTAATCGGCGAGTCTGATAATAACTCCTCCAACAGAAAACCCCACCTTCAATACACACACCTGCTTCGTCTGCAAGATGATCGATCAGATGTTCTCCGAGCCAGAACTGAATGGCATTTAAAGCAAAATGAACAATGATATACATATACCATAGGCAAAATCCCAGCATCTATATTGGACCCTATTCCTCACTATGTTTCTTGCTAGCTTTTCACTCTTCTGATTTTGTTTTCCAGGATCCTTTGATCTCTATGTTCATTACGTTTGTCAATTAATACTATAAAAGATTTTCCTGTGACCGGAACTGTCGTTTGTAACCTATTGAGAAATTTGTTGTAAATGAAAACACGTTGATAACAATTGATTAAGATATCAACATGTATTGTAAAGAAGTTTGTACCTTATTTTAGTGTTGAGAATTACCTAACCTAGAGAAAAAAAATCTTATAAATAAATGGTTAAAATATTGCAACTATGGGTGTGTCATCAACCATGATTATATAAACGCAGGAGGACTTTTCTGACACGAGAGCATATCTAGATTAAGTCAATTACACATCACCAAATCAGGATTCTGTTGTCATTTCTTTATTTATTTTGTGCATTATAATACTCATTTAATGATGTATCATTTTTTTATTGTTTTAGTTTGTGTCATTAGAAAAACATCTCCCCAAGACCCCAACTAACTGAGGAATGTTTCCAAGCCTCCAAAAGAAAAAGGAGCGGTTGATCAACTAAAAACACCGATGTCTTCAAACTTTTTTTTTTTAAATATTTCAATCGATTCATTGTTTCGCAATTAATTTGATTCGGGACGGGTCTATGATTAGGGCTTTAAATCCCTCCTAAAAGTGATACTAGGAAGATTCGAACACATATTCTCACTCACATCTGCTTAGCTCCCATGCGCCAACTGAGCTACCACCATTTGGTAATGTCTTCAACCTTCAACCACCACAAGAAGGCACAAACGATAGAAAACCAGCTGAGACTACCACCAAGGCACGGAAATGACTCGATACAACAAGGTATATTGGGTTTGATTTATGGGAAATTTAAATGAATTTATTTTATATAGCCAACTAAAAGTGTATTTACTCTCAAGTTATTGTGCATTAAAATTATAATAAATTTTAATTTAAACTAAAGATAAATATATCCTATTCACTCACTTTAAAAAATAAATGACAAATGTCTTTGTTGAAGAAGATATCATCTTATCATGTAAATATATTCAGTTTGTGTGTAATCTTAGTTGTTTCCTAGTTGTTAGCTTGTATTCCTAGTTTGTTAGTGTAGTTACCATCAGATCCGATGCTGGTACCAGCTTGTGCGTCCAGCTTTCTAGCTCATGCGATCAGCTCCTAGTTTTTAGGATTGTTAAGTTTGTTTATAATTATTTGTATTTTTGTTCAGCCTATTTAAAAAGGCAACCATCAATATATCAAAGCAACATATTGATACCATATTTTATCTTGGTATCAGAGCGATCCGAAACACTTCCGCAAATACGAGTGAGTGCGAAAGCTTGTCTCATCTAAGATGGCAGGAGAAAATATCAGCGCCTTAAAGCCTTCGGATCCTGACTCTCCCTTTTATCTAGGAGGGTCGGATAATCCAGGCGTCATTCTAACCATAGTGCAGCTGCGTGGAGAGGCCAATTATGACAACTGGGCCAAGCTGATGCAAAACGCACTCAGCGCAAAGAACAAACTTGGTTTCATCACTGGCGATGTGAAGAAACCGGAGAAGGATAACGCTGCGGAATGGCGTGCATGGGTCAGGTGCAATTCTATGATCAATGGGTGGATTCATAACACCATTGATCCTAAGTTGCAACCATTTATTAAATGTTTTGCTGACGTCAAAGACTTGTGGGACGACCTAAAGGAGAGGTATGCTGTTCAGAATTTCCCGAAGCAGTATCAACTCAGAGCTTCCCTCACAAACACACGGCAGCAAGGAAGTACTATTGGTGAATATTACACCAAGCTTCGCGCAATTTGGGATGAGCTCGAAGGTGGCAAGATTTCCAAATCATGTGCATGTGGAGATAATTGTGCAGTGGCCAAGGAGATAGAGGAAGGCAGAGAACATGAACGCGTGTATCAATTCCTTATGGGATTGGATGAAGCACTCTTTGGGAACTTACGTTCTCAGATTCTTAATACATCTCCTCTTCCATCCCTTAATAAAGTTTATGCAACTGTTACACAGGAGGAGACACACCGCGCCATTGCCCGTGGCCATGATGATCGCAGCACTGTCATCGGTTATGCAGCACGCACCGAAGCCAGTGGCGGACAGGATGCACAGGCGCAACGCATGGTTGCGGTCCAGCCAGCAGCTCGTGTTCCATGCCCTCACTGCGGGAAGACCAACCATGATCCATCTCGTTGCTGGAAAATTGTCGGATTCCCTCAGTTTCGTGGTGCACCTCGCGGCCGTGGCAGGGGACGAACAGGAACAGGTGGACGCGGACCCCATGAACAAGCATATGCCGTTCAAACATCAGACGCTATACAAACAGCAACTGCATCACAAACAGCGGCTGTTCTGTCCTCACCAAATGCAGCTGCATTCTCGGTTCTCACTCCAGAAGTAGTGCATAAACTCATGACATTGGTGGATCACTCTCAGGCAAATCAAACCACCGACAAGTTGTCTGGTAAGGCTACTCAATCACAATGGCTTATTGATAGCGGTGCTTCGCAGCACATGACAGGGTCTCTGGAATTATTAATGGATGTTAGAAAAATCAAACCTCTAGCAGTGGGGTTACCTAATGGTGAAATTACTTATACTGAACAACAAGGGACAATGGTGTTCGAAAACAATTTTACATTGTCTAATGTCTTGTTTGTTCCCCATTTGAGCTGCAATCTGATTTCAGTGTCTCAATTATTGCAGCAGAATAACAACAGAGTAATTTTTACTAATGGAAAATGTATTTTGCAGGACCAAGCATTGATGAGGGAGACTGGATTGGGTGATATTCATGCAGGAGTTTATGTGTTTCAACCAAAGCATGCTTCAGTTTCTACCGTAAGAGTTCAGGAGTCTGTAGAGTTGTGGCACAGACGGTTGGGTCATGCATCCTATGAAGTTGTGTCTTTGCTTCCGTTATTTTCTCATAATTCAGCTAAAATTGCAGCGAATAAAACGACATGTGCCATTTGTTGTCGTGCTAAGCACACTAGAACTATGTTTCATTCAAGCAGTAATCGAAGTAAACAATGTTTTGATTTAATTCACTGTGATACGTGGGGACCCTATCGTTCTTCTTCCTCTTCAGGTGCACATTATTTTTTAACAATCGTTGATGACTTTAGTCGATTTGTTTGGGTGTATATGTTAGCTGAAAAGAAGGAGACTTGCGATCGTATTCATAAATTTTTGGCTATGATCAGAACCCAATTTGGAAAAATGATAAAAATTTTGCATTCTGATAATGGGACTGAATTTAAATCAAATAAATTACTGCAGTTGTATCATGAAAATGGGATAGTTCATCAAACGTCTTGTGTTTATACACCAGAACAAAATGGGCGTGTAGAGCGAAAGCATCAACATATTTTAAATGTTTCTCGGGCGTTATTGTTTCAAGCTGATTTACCCATCGATTTTTGGGAAGAAAGTGTGCTTGTAGGGGTCCATTTGATTAATAGAACACCATCCAAAATTCTTTCAGGCAGTACACCACATGAGTTACTATATGGGGTGGTCCCAAATTATGAACACTTGAAAATTTTTGGATGTTTGTGTTTTGCTAATGTCAGACCAAAGCCTACGGATAAATTTGCATCTCGATCTCGCAAATGTCTGTTTGTAGGATATCCTACTGATCAAAAAGGGTGGAGAGTATATGATTTAGAAAATAGAGAATTTTTTGTATGCAGGGATGTCAAATTTTATGAAGAAATTTTTCCTTTATCATCACATGTTGCACCAAAAAATGCGCCTGCATTATCCTTGCTGCCTCCTTCTATTCAGGTCACGGGTGAAGATGCGTCCAATAATATGTTGTCCGCCCATGATAATGCTTATACACCTGCAATTGAATACTATGCAGAAGGCGCCGATCAAGTACTTACACCTGTATCACATGCAGACGACAGAGGGAGTAATATTTACGTAGACGTCGAACAAATTCATGCTCCCGAATCTCATGCAGGCGACATCCACGCTGAACAAATGGCTGCACCCGAATCCTATGCAGGAGACGTTAATGCAGATACGTCATGCACTTTAACGGTGCAATCAAGAGCACCAATTCCTGTGCCATGCTCTTCAGGGTCGCAACCAGTTGAGGGCCGAAGTCAGCGGTCACGGAAAACTCCAACATACCTTCAAGATTATGAATGCAATGCTATTGAAACACATAAATCTCTTCCTGCTCTTCCAATCAGTCACTTCTCATATGCAAGGTCAGGTATTAAATATCCATTATGTAATTCTCTTAGTTTATCTAAATTCTTTCCATCCCATCGTGCGTTTGTAGCAGCTATTGATGCAGGATGTGAGCCTCGCCATTTCAGAGAAGCCATGCAGAATTTGAAATGGGTCGAAGCTATGAGAAAAGAGATCACTGCACTAGAGGATAATGAGACATGGGCTGTCACGGTTTTGCCACCGAATAAAAGAGCATTACCTAGCAAATGGGTTTTCAAAATAAAATATCATTCTGATGGAACCGGGGAAAGATACAAGGCACGGTTAGTTATTGCAGGTAACCATCAGATAGAAGGCGAAGACTTTGGTGAGACTTATGCGCCTGTTGCAAAAATGACAAGCGTTAGAACTCTCTTGGCAGTTGCCGCAGCTAAGCAGTGGGAACTACATCAACTAGACGTGCATAATGCTTTCCTAAATGGAGAGCTTAGTGAAGAGATGTATATGAAATTTCCTCCAGGATTTAGCAATGGAACAAAAGATCAAGTCTGCCGTTTGAAAAAGTCACTCTACGGTTTGAGACAATCTCCAAGAAACTGGTTTAGTAAATTGAGCTCCTCACTTATGAAATACGGTTTTCAACAACCTCATGCTGATTATACCTTGTTCACATTCCAAAGAGGTGGTATTTTTCTTGCTCTCCTGGTTTATATTGATGATATAGTGTTGGCAGGAAATAATAC